AAATTTTTTTTTTTTTTTTTTTTTTTTTTTTTTTTTTTTTTTTTTTTGCAGCTGGATCCAAACCTTTGACCTTGGTATTACAACACCATGGTCTAAACAACTGAGCTAACTGGCCAGCCCCTTTGTACATTTTTTAATGGGGTTATTTGTTTTTTGTTATAGAGTTGTAGGAATTCCTTATATATTCTGGCTATTAACCTCTTATTAGAAATATGATTTGCAAATATTTTCTCCCATTCTATAGGTTGATCTTTCATTCTTTGATTAGTTCCTTTGATGTGCAGAAGTTTTTGTTTGTTGTAGTACCATTCGTCCACTTTTGCTATTTTTTGCCGTAATAACTTCGTATAGCATACATTATACGAAGTTATACGAGCATTTCATGTAAAACGCTGCAAATGGTACTGGCAGGGAGTGAGCCTCTGCTGCCCTCGTGATTGTTATTACTACAGCTGTGTCTGTTTCATAAGTAACATCGGTTCTCATTGTATCGGAAAGTTTGAATGCAGACTCTGTTTTCTTGGCTTATTGTACAAGTGTCTGTTGTTTCTTTTGTGTGTCTATTTGTTCACCAAGTATTTATAGAATACCCGCTATGTGCCAGGAGTGTATTCTAAGTGTGCCCATGTCCTTATTACCTGTTTTCATTTGGAAACATCTGCTTGTACTGATCTCTGCAGGCCCTCTCCACAGTCGTCTTTGATGATGTAGTGATGTGGTCACGCTGGCCTCAGAGCCTGTCGGTCATTTGAGCTCAAGATGACCTGCCCAGAAGCTGTTCTCATGTGCTCTCTGCAGCTGATGCTGAGCAAAGTCCATAACGATGGAAATGGATCTTATGAAACTCAGACAACCTCGATTAGAAAGAGGGATGGCTGGATTTTCTTCATGGGACTTGTGTGTCTAAATGTTTACATTTTACTCATGTTAGTCATTCATAAACAACCCTGTGAATTTGGCTAGTTACTGAATTTCCGTTTTCCCAGATTGAGAACTGAGGCTGAGAAAACTGGAGCGATGTCTTGAGCCTCTGGACTGAATTTGGGACTCTGATTTGTAGGGTTCAGTTTTCTGCTCCTTGGAAATCTGGCAGATCAAAATTAGAGTGGTATCTGGCCATGTTGGCACTGCTGGTGGTTGAATCCTAACGGCTTGTGGATCAGAAAGATTGGGGAAGACTCTGCACTTTATTAGCACAAGCAGATCACACTGCATTAATAGGCACTCAGGTGGGTGTGCAGGCTGCAGCACCTTACCCCTTCCCTTGTCTGTCTATGTCCATGTCCTACGGAGTGTCTTTTAGTCCTCTGCTTTAAATATCATCTCTAAGTTGATGGCTTCTGAATCTCTGAACTCTGAACTTCAGACTCTCACATTTATTTGTTGACTGTATATATAAACTATAATTCAATGTTAATTTTACATATCCCAGAGACATCTTAAAATTAACTTGCCCTAATAATCAAGATAGTGTGTGTTGGTGTAAGGAAAGAGATCTAGATCAATGGAACAGAGTAGAGTGTCCAGAGGTAGACTCATATTTATATCGCCAGATGATTTTTAATAAAAGTGCCAGGGTTATTCAGTGGGGAATAAATCTCCATTTCAATAAATATATAGAAAAAAGTGAATTTCAACCTTTACTTGATACCATATGGAAAAATTAACTCAAAATGGGTCATTCCAGAGGTAGACTCATATTTATATCGCCAGATGATTTTTAATAAAAGTGCCAGGGTTATTCAATGGGGAATAAATCTCCATTTCAATAAATATGTAGAAAAAAGTGAATTTCAACCTTTACTTGATACCATATGGAAAAATTAACTCAAAATGGGTCATGGACCTAAACATAGAAGCTAAAACTATTATAATTCTACAAGAAAATGTATTTGTGTCATTCGAGTAGGAAAAGATTTCTTAAGACACAAAAAGCATGAATTATAAAAGAAAAATGATAAAATGGACTTTGTTTAATCAAAAAAGAGCTTTTGTTCTATATCAGACACAGTTAAGAAAAGAAAAAGGCAAGCCATGGACTAGGAGAAAATATTTACAAAACATCTGACAAAAGGCTCATAGCCAGAAGACATAAAGAAACATACAGTTCAATATTAGGAAGACAACCCAATTTTTTTAGAAAAGGCAAAAGATTTTAAAAGATATTTCACCAAATAAAATGGATAAATGCCTAAAGGCACCTGAGAAAATGCTTAATAGCACTACTTTTCAAGGAAATGCAAGTTAAAAATACAATGAGATGCCACTATGAATTCGTTAGTAGGGCTAAACTTACAAAAGACTGAGAATACCAAGTGTTGGCAAAGATGTGGAGAAACTGGAATTCTTATACATTACTGGCGGGAACACAAAATAATATATCCACTCTTGAAAATAATCTGACATTTATCTTGGGTAAATCTATAGGAGCAGCATTTCTGGATTGTACATAGAGTGGATCGATCCATCCGTCAGTTGATTGATTGTTAGATCGATCTCCAAGAAAAATGAAAACGTTCACCCCCAGTCTTGTATGCAGATATTCATAGCAGCTTTATTCAAATAACCCCAAACTGGAAACTGCCTAAATATTCATCAGTTCGTGAGTGGGTAAACAAATTGCTAGAATACTACTCAGCCATATAAAGGACCAAAATATTAATTCATGTGACGCCATGGGTGGGTCTCAGAAATTTTATGCTAAGTGAACATCTATTGTCTCTACCTGCCTGGAAGCCCTACATGATTGCTCTCTCTTTCCTCTTCACAGACCTGCACATGCACATACACACACATGCACTCAAATACGCATGTGTGCGCACACGTATCTGGTGGCCCAGACCTCTGATATGTCAAGCACACACTCATTTCCTTGGATCCTCCTGCTGTTCCCTGCCTGGACCATTCCTCCCCCAGATATCTTTCTTACTCGATCATTTCCACGTGACTGCCACGTGTCAGCTTACTAGAGAGGCCTTCTTCTACCGTCTTAGCTTCCACTTCTCCTCTCTAACCCCCTTACCTAAAACTTAATGTATGCATTTGAATTTTTGTTGAGTGTCTGCCTCCTCCTGCCAGAATGTAAGCCTGCTTGGTTCAGTGCTGTATTTCCTCACCCCTAGAGCAATGTTATGTAATAAGTGCTCAATAAATCATTGTTGAGTAAATATGTGAAGGCACAAAATTAGGAGCACAGGTGGCGGGTGCAGAGTGAGCTTCAGACTCACGTGCTCTGTGAAGATGTACACCGCTGCATTCTGTGCTCGTGGTTTTCCCTTTGCCTGCTCGTTTATTCATCTGCTGAGCAGGCTCTGGCCCCGTTTACTCTTGAGAAATCAGTGAAATCAGATGCATTTAGTATCTCATTAATCTAATATGATTGAAATGGATTTGCTGAAAAATTATAGCATTTTTACAAAGATATTAAAACAGTTTTACACAGGGAACTTCTCAAATGCTGTACAGCACACTGATTATTCATTAATCTTCCCCTCCCCCTTTATGAAAACATAAATATAAGGCAAAGCTAGGAGAAAATACTTCTAATAATATTTGTAAAATGTTTGACTTAAATACTGTTAAAACAACTGTGGACCTGGGAACCAGTACTACTTTCTGATATTATCTGTTATGTTGCTGAAGATTTGGGTTTTTTTGTTGTTTTTAAGGCCAGATTGGAAGATTTCTAGACATAGCACAAAATACTATCTTTGGATGGCACAGCCTTAAATTATGTAAGGACAAAGTAAAGAGGGATCATGATACTTACCTTTATATAACAAACCTGTTGATTTAGGTCTGATGATTTTTTTTCTGTAAATGCTGTATTGCTTCCTTCTCTTACTCTTGAATTCTTCCTTCTGGAAGTAACTGTTCATTAGCCTAGGCCCCCCATGTATCCTCCAGTGGGAGAGTCATGGGGGAGATTATACTTAAAGTGGTTTTTCTTGCCTCTTTGTTAGTGGCCCTGATAAGTTTGATGGATTCTATGGGAAGACTGGAGGGAGTGAATGGTGTGTGGGGGTTATTTGCCAGCTTGGGAGAGTTTCCCATGCCCTGGATGATCCAAGTCCTGGTGCCCCACAGTTCTCAGAGGCCCTGCTGATACATCTAATACAGATTGCTATGAAATTTAAATAGTAAAAACAAACAAACAAACATGCTTTTGGGAATCAGAAAATTTAGTAAAATCAGGAAATTGATCATCAGATTAATAGGTCATTAGGAGAACTGACTTAGAGCCACTGAAATTTATCAAATGTCTGTCTGCATCTGTTGAGAAAATCATGTGATTTTCCTCATTTAGCCCACTCATGATATGTATTATATTGATAAGTTTGTCTGCTGTTAAACCATCCTTGCATTTCCAGAATAAGAAGTACTTGATTATAATGTATTATACATAAGAGGTATCATTGAATTCAGTTAGCTAGCATTTTATTAAGGATTTTCACATATGTGTTTATAAGTGCCTGTTTTTTGTTTTCTTGGTCACTGTCTAGTTTTAAAATTGAGATTATACTAGGATCATGAAATGAGTTGGGCAACTTTCCCCCTTTTCTAATTTGTGGGACATAATGGGATGTTTTCAGAGTTATGGATTGCAACTATTTTAAACCCCACTAATGGTTTGTTTACTTAAGCCACCAAAATATTTTTTAAAACCTTGTCCTTAATTAACCTTTTAAATTAAAAAGATACTTTTCTAGTTTCACTGTTTTCTTTTTTCCAGTGAGTGACCTCAATTAACTGTCCAGTTAATTTTTAATGAATATTTATTCACCCATTTGTTTGACATTTATTGGGCATTTGCTCTGCATGGGGCATTATCCCAGGCACAGGGCGGGGTGGGGGGGATGAATGGCAAGAGCCTGCCCCCAGTTCTTCCAGAAGGGAAACAGAGCTTGTCTTCAGCTAGTGATAGCTCCCTGCCAAGGTGGGCTGTCTCATTCTATAAAAGGAAAGGGTTGGACTGCTTGGGCCCTTCAGACATTGGTCTGTCAGGGAAGAGTAATTTTGTAAATTTTTTGAGCACTAAAGGAGTCATGGCTCCAAATTTTCCAGTTTCAGTTAGAAATATGCATAATTATTTGTCCGTCAAATATTTATAAATACCGCATGTTCTCACTCATATGTGTGAGCCCAGGCCCTCCCCCCGCAAAAGATGAGCTTTTAGAAGTAGAGTAGAATTGTGGTTACTAGAGGCTGGGAAGGGCAGAGGGGAGGGGAAACGGGGGAGGTTGGTTGGTGGACATAAAATCACAGCTAGGTAGGAAAAATAAGTTCTAGTAGTGTATAGTAGTGCTAGGCATCTAGAATTAACAATAATTTATTGTAGATTCTCAAATGGCTAGAAGAGAGGAGCTCAAATGTTCTCATTACATAGAAATAGTTTTACAGTGATGAATGTGCTAATTACCCTGATTTGATCTTCACACATTGTATATATGTATTGAAATATAACTCTGTCCCACAAATATGTATAACCAATATGTTTCAATTAAAAACAAATTCTTTAACAAATCAAATATTTTTTAAAATGCCTACTTTGTGCTAGGCCATGTGTGTGGCATAGAAACTGTCAAATCTTTTTTGTAGCTTGTGGCAAAGGTCCCTGGTGTTTTGGAAGATGCAGCTTGTCCTCATTTCTTCACATTTTGAATACATTAAGAAAGTATTTGAAGGCAGGAGCCTCTCAGAAGGGGACCTCTGTCCCCCTGCCCTCTGAGGCACCTCAGTGCTTGTTAACTGAGGCCCCCCCCCATGTATCTCAGCAGGGGAGGGGGTGTGTTTTGTTCTTTCTCTTTGTTTGCAGCTCAGGTGTGAGTCAGGTACATCATCCCTCTGCCCAGAATGGCTCAACGTTGCTTCCTGTTTCATTCAGTATAAACACCAGAGTCCTTACTGTGACCTACGTCCCCACAACCCTCATAAGCCACATTCCTATAGCCCCTCCTCCCGACATCTGTACACACACAGTGTGCTTCAGCCACCTTGGTCACCTTGGTGTTCCTCCCCAGACCCACTGAGGGCCTCTGGATATCTTCATGGTGCACTCTCACCTTCTTCTTCCCAGACCATTGACACCGTGTCCCTTGTCCCTCTTTGTCCGCCTTACTCTGCTTTCACTGTGTTGACACCTTGTACATTTACCTGTTTATCTGCCTTCCTCTCTCCCCCACCACACACAAGAATGCCAGCTCCTTAGGGGCAGAGACAGAGTGTTTAT